AGCCGCAAGCCGGCCTGCATTAGCGAGCCACGTGACGCGGGAATGCAGCAAGAAAATCCTTGTGTCCTTAAATAACTCAGACATCTCTGGCGTACACGTGGGCAGGATCGTCTCCAGGCTTTCAGCAAGGGCTGAGGGAGAGGACTGCGGAGCGATGCTTCTGGAAGGGGCGGGGGTTTGCTGGGGGTACAGCCTCAAGCTTACAGGTGGGGGGCTGGTGAGGGTTTGCCCCTCCGAGCTGGGTCCTGGGGGTCCCAGCCCTCCCAAAACACCCTGTAAAAGGAGGGGAGGAGGATGCAATTTGCTGTTTCTGGGGTCGATGGGGGGATGTCCTGCATCCCCCTCCCCAGGAAAAGCCTCCGGTGGCAGAGCAGCAACAGACACCAGAAGAAAACACTTCTCACGCTGGCCGCTGGCTCGGCGCCGATGGCTGCAGCTTCTGCGGCTGAGCCAGCGCTTTGCACCAGCGTCACCACGGAGGGACCCATGCCGGAGCTGGCTGGGGGGCTCCGGTGAAGAGAGACCTGGGTCCGTCTCCTTGCACAGCTCACTTGCACAGGGTCTCCTCCAGGGATGAGCTTTTCTGGCTGCAGGAGAATGAATGCCCATCGCTCTGCGAAAAAGCTGGATCTCCAGCAGATTGGGGGGAAGCAAAGGAAGATCTGCCCCATCAATCGCTTCTGCCCCATGCTCGTCCAAGGATGCCGGAGCTCTCCTGCTCACCGGTGCCCACCATCATGCACCGTGGAGGGCTGCACAGGTCCACATGTGCCTGCGAAAGGACATCTCCAGCCACAAAATGGGAAGGAGTACGGGGGCGCACGGATGGGGCAAGCAGAGGGATGTGGGCAGGGGCGGGCGGTAACAGTGAAGGCAGATGGGATCTTAATGTTTCCTTCCTAGAACCAAGATGCAAGAATCCGAGGCGATGGCTCCTCCGCCGTATGTCCCTGTTTTTCATTCTCGCACAACTTCAGTAGCATTTGGGAAACCGGTTGCTGAAGTAACACCAGTAACCGTGGGAGCTGCCCTGCATCCTAGAAAGAGGCTCAGTTTACCCCCAGGGATGAAATCACCCTGGGTTTGATAGCTGAGTGCTGTGCTGTGAGAGCAGAGCTTTATCTAGGTCAGCGTCGGGTCCTCCACCGCTCGCAGCGGAGCCGGGAGCCGCCGGGGGAACATCGGCACCGGTCGCGTCTCAGCTGGGCGCTGACGCGTGGATGCTTCGAGGAAGGTGACGCCAGGTAAAGGATGCAAAGCGGGCGGCTGCCGAGGGCAGGCGTGAGCAGGCAGCCGGGCGGGAGCGAGCCCCTGCCTGCAGCGCTGCCTGAAGATCTGCATCCAAGGAGAGGCCG